CCCCCCCATTCATGCCAGATATCAGGGATTTTACTGTACTATGTTGCTCTCATTTCTGCTTTTACAAAGGTTACTTCTATTTAATATGAAGCCATGGAACAAGCTAACTATGGCAGTATCAAAGTAATCAGGTTCCAACCCATACCTCAACATATTTACTCTACTGTGTTGCAGGGGAGGGTTCAGAGCAGGCCTAAAGTTGGTGTGGCATACAATTATCTCTCAGAATGCTCAGGACTTTTATCTTCCTCTCGTGGGGGTCTACTTTCACACTAAAAGCAGTCTGCTTGGGCCTTGTAGGCTAATAAAGACTTTCTTGCCCTAACAGTTGAGTTTTCTGTAGCCACCCTTCAGATACTGGGGTCCTCTCTCAGCCATATTAATGCAGGGTTCTTCAGTCTTTCTTCTAGGATTTGAACCTTAATCCTGACTACCTTCGCAGGCTTGCTAGCATCCTGACTCTACCCCCAGTATTCTGGTTCCTGTTCGCTACAGCACAGATTTTGCACCTAACTTGCATGGACACGAATGGGAGTTAGGCACCTAAGCACCCTTAAAAGTTTTGTTCTACAGCACCAGACAGTCAAGGCAGAAGTTAGGGCAGCGTGGCAGTTCATAGACACTAAGCAGGTCAGAGAGGCATAAGCTTTCACAGGCAACAATCTGTTTTATTAGATACTATACTGGAATTGACAAAAAAAGAAAAAAATTATATAAAGGGAAAGCAGTCAGTGTCCCATCTTTATAGCAGGGTCTGTAGTGTCCTACAGACATTGATCACCTGCTTTCTGCAGAGGGCAGGATCTTAATTATTTATAAGCTCTGTTCACTGAAATATGTTATTTCTTCAGGGGAAAGTGCTGTTACTTGGGTTTTACTCTTTTGCACCTTATGCATAATCTACATTAAAGCATTGGTGGGGATCTCTGTAAATCGTGCTAGAAGTGCCCCCCACAGCGACTCCTTTAATGTTTTTTATTTCACCACTTGTGACCCCTGTCCCTGAATGGAGAAGGGGCCACACTGCCCACGCTGTTTGATGCTGATAGCCAGAGAAGCGAAAACAGTGGCATTAAAGTCGTGGTTTTCACTTCCCTGGTGATCAGCAGTAAATGGTGGGCCACTCCACCAATCAAGGTGGGGAGAGAGTGGAACAAGCAGCAAAATGAAAAACATAAGAGGACCTGCTGCAGGTGGGAAGGAGGGGGGCACTTCTAGTGCAATTTACAGAGATCCCTAAGCACTGAATGTATGAAGGAATTAAGGGATAGTAGTCAAATCTTACAAAATAAAATAAAAAAATGCTGTCATTATAAAAATAACCTTTTTGACACTCTTTAGTAAGTGGCTCCTCATATGGTTCTTCTCTTGTTGAACCTTTAAATTCGCATGCCTAAAAACAGTCAGAAGAAACAAAAATACTTCAGGCCAACATAAAAGAACACTTTACATACAAAGTAACAAGCTTTGCCTCATCCTCAGCAAAAAACTTTCATGTAAGATTTTAAAGCTTCCAATTCAATCAGCAGTCCAATCAAATACTGATGTAGCATATGTGCAGTATTAGCTCCTAATACCACAGTCAAGACTTCATTGTTAAATCAAAATAGATTAATGCATCATGAAGATCCCAAAAGAAATTCCAAAGCCCAATGCAGCTTCTAAGGCTTATTCTAAGTAAATACATCTGAAGGGATTTTATCATACACCTCAACTCTTTATCTTTAATCTATAATAAGATTTCTAAAGTAGTTATCAGAATGTGACTTGCTGCAGCATATAAAGAGTCCTTTTCTCTGCCTTTAAAGCTAAAGTGAACTCATCCAGTTTTCCCTTAATCTTCTCTTACAACAGGTGATTTTGCAGATCAGAATAAAAAGGTGGTGGTACAGAGAAAGTGAGTATCAACTGCCTGTGGCCAATATATCAAAATAATGAATGAATGTTAGGGACTGTAGGTTTTATACATGCAAAAATATTTTCACAAAACTATTTACCAAAATGAGCATATTTATAATACAACCCCAATATTAGGAAAAAGAAAGATAAACTTGAACGTTACATAGCCAGTTGTGAAGGAGTTACATTATTGATACAGGCAATAGGTTTTGGAGCTGCAACATGGAAAGGACATGAGTTCAGTTATGGAAAAAGCTGCAATTAAATATTTTCTTAGTGTCCCTCAAAAAATTTGGAAGATTCAAATACTATTCTGTTAAAATGTCATAAGAAAAAAACCATGCCCAACTCCATAAAAATTATATTCTCAATTTTTCAAAGTACCAGAAATACCTCTTCAGTTTTCACCTCAGTTTTGAATTCCAGTTCTTCAGACAAATTTGATACAGGTGTTTTATTGCCTAATGAAAAACATGAAACACAAATTTTAAATTACTGTTACATTACATTAATCTAGTCTTACCATACAACCGCTATTCCCTTAAGTACATTACAGAAATGTTATGCATCTGAGTAAGCTATTCTAGTGAATAACACATTTAGTAAATGGATTCTTTTTTAAATCCATTGCAGTAAATCCTTTAAAGTTAATTTATTCAGCTTTTCCTTAATCCTCTTCTCTTTACAACACATAATATTGCAAATCAGCATAAAAATGTGTTGCAGGAAAAATGAGAATCAATTGCAGGTATCTATTATTTCAACTTAATGAATATGAATGAAATGAAAATACGCTTTCCTCTGAAATATGGTTCGACCCTCAACCCACACTTATATTTTGATGAAGTATTTGGAATTTGGACCACACTGAGTTTTGGGTTATTAACAGTTAAGTTAGGTCTTTTGATTTTGAAACTTATAGGCAATATTTAAATGTTGATACAACTACTGCAAACTGTATTTTTAATAGGCTTCATTAAGGAAAGCTACAAATAGGTTATTAAAATTGTACAAGTCATATTAAGGAATGCAAAAAACGGGAGCATAAAATTGGGAGTCAAAGTCCAAAACTTGGTCCCCCAAATGAATTACCTGATTTTCAGAAGCTGAGCACTCAAATAACTACCACCAAGGTCAAATGATTATTTCACAAGATATTGAAATCTTTTAACATCAAATCTTTATATCATCAAATATGAGTTGCTGGTTACTCAGAACATTTGGAAATCTATAGATAGATTTTTGTATCTTTAGGAAACTGCCTTCCTTCCCCACCTCAAGCAGTACTGGTGTCACCTGTAACAATGGGGGCGGGGGACCAAATAAAGTATGAAATTGAACTACCCAGTGTCCTCTAGTAAATTAGGGCAGGAAAGATTTGCAGCCAGTATTAGAAATGTGTGCTGTCACAGTCCATTGAGGGCAGGGCAGGGCGAATTTAGGATTAGGAAAAAAAAATCCTCATTTTTAAAAAAATCCTAGATTATCAATTTAGCATTTTTTCCTGGCGATCAAAACCTACAATCACAAAACATTAAGACACCCAACTCTATTTTAGGTACCATATTTCTACTGAAATCAGGGGTGTTTAAGGATTCAATTACTTGCATGGATTCAACCTCAGTTCTTCTTTTAGTCCATTTCTTATATTTATTAACACTACTGAGAAAACAAGAAAACTTCTTAAAAGGGTTCCTGACCGTTCTGTTTTCTTTGCCATTAAGGAAGACAGAGCTAAATTCCATTTGACTGACTGCTTACAGACATTAAAAAAAACAAACAACAAAACCCCAACCCCCACAAAACCAACAGCAAAAAAATGCACTTTACCAGCAGAAGCAGTGTGTTAGTTCCAATCAGACTTTAGATCAAAGTGCCAGAAAAGTCCTGCTCTAGTGCCTGATCTATAGACAGTGGGAAAGCTGGGTCCAACCAACACGCTGCCTCTTCTGGGCATGTGCAGGAGTACAGTGTTTAAAGCACCTATTTTTTTTGAATGTCTGTAAGCAGCCTATGCATCTAAATGGCAAGTAGACAACTGGAGAGCTACAGTTTTTTTTTTTTTTTTTCACACTAGATAGAGCTTGGGATTCTATTTTTGCCCTGGGGCAACAGAAATGCCCCACTTGTGTATGTATCAGAAGTGGTGGTGCTGAATGCCGCCACATTTTAGCCCCATAGCTTATTAGTTAGGGCACTTGCCCAGGCAGGAAACCGAAGTCCTAAATCCCCTTCACCCAGAGAGAGTTCAAACCCACATCTCCTGCTTCCCAGTGTCCTAATCACCAGATCAGAAAACAGATACTGTCCATGCCCTTCTCCAGCCCTCCTCTTTGGTCTGGCCTACCAATGCTTGGCATTTGATATTCACTGGATAAAATAAATACAGTGGGGAAGTTTATATCCCATTAGGAACACAAAACTCTCTCCCATCCACAGCAGCAGCACTGGATTGAGCCACCCATGCTTTAGTTTGGTCTCTTCCTCCTGTCTCCATATACATCTCTCTCTATTTACTTCCCAGTGAGCCAGCTTCAAGAAAAGGGCAGAAGAAGGGTCTGGGCAATACCTCCCCCTGTGGGCTGGTGGTTATGGCATTCGTTGAGAAGCAGGAGATACAGATTATAACCCCCTGTGGGCGAGGGAACCTAAGACACAGGTCTCCTTTTCCCTGGACAAGGATCTTAACCATTACACCACTGGGCTCCAATGCAGAAGACCTCTTCCTCCTCCCCCCCCACCCCTCCACAATCCCTTACTAGATGTGGAGTTTTTTTGGCAACTAAAAATATCTGAATGTACCCAGTCTTAAGTGCATACTGGGTGATCCCATTTCACTGAGTAGCTGACTAGACAGAGCACAGCCCTACTGAACATGCAGGCTCATGACCCAGAGATGAATTGCAAACTGTGCGTGAATACTAAAAAATCTGCAGTTATGTGGCTGCAGTATGTGCTATGTAGGCCTATAAAGGGAAATAAGATTTAATTTACAATGTGTTCATGACGATCTTTATGGAAATCATTTTACAAACTTGGTGTTTTTAATTACTTACAAGTCACTGAACCCTTTCATAGCACTTCTTTTGCCACTGTGCGAGCGATGCGGCCAGGCAACCCAGCTAGGCAACAGTGATGCACTGCCTCCTGCCTGCCCTGACATTACCTCCAATCTTTCCAGGGCCCCTACTGACCTACTGTGGAATCCCAAGGTTCTGATGAATAAAGTTTGAAAACCACCAACTTAGGAGAGGCAAAGTGCAGAAACCTTGATGGAGATGTATGTTTGTTACCAGATTTTTAGGGACAAACTTGCAAGAGCTTTTTACATTTTCTTTTGTAAAAACACAGCTCTAGAAGTAAGATACTGTATACACTAAATATTGCATACATTATTATAATTTAAGATCTATCTTAAAACAAACAAACAAACAATCAATCATTTTGTTGTTTACCTCAAATATTAAATTAATGTGGGTCATGGTCCAATGCTGTTATTGACAGCAAGCACCACCTTATTCACAGTACTCCTAAAGTAGTGGTTCTCAACTTTTTTTTTTTTTAAGATTCAAAGCGTCTTACATCAGACTCAAGACACCCTCCATATGTTTCTGATTTGAGGAGCACTCCATTTTAAAAACGAATTTATTTATTACAGGGGTTAACCCTCCTTGCAGAGGGGGCAGGCAGGGGTAGGGTGAAATCGAGGCGCAAGTAGGTAGGGAGAGCCTGAGCCTGCCTGTAACAGGTTAAGCTACTAAGGAACCACTGTGATGCCCCCTATAAGTTACTTCATCCCTGCCAGGCTCGCTCTCTCCCATCTCGCAAGGTCTTTCCTGCCATGCCTTGATGGAAGCTTCATGAGTAGGAGGCTGCCCTCAGACTGATGAGCCTAATGTGCTCCCTCTTCCTCAATGGTCGACTCTCCTGATGTTGCCGGCCTTATAGGCCTAAGTCATGATCTCCAGCCACATTTGTAGTCACGCCCATGCCTCATGGATGCTGTGTAGCATTACTCAGTTGGGACCCTTGTTCCCCAAAGCCACCAGGCCACCTCAGGCCTTCACTTTTGCTGGGTTCTCAGCCTTCCCAACTTCCACCCCTCTACTCTAGTTGGTCCCTTAGCCAAAGCCCACTGTTGTGGATCTGGTTTCCAGGCTCCAGCCCCTTACCTTGCCCTCTGGGGCCTTTATCTCTGTCTTGCTTGGACTCCAGACCCTCTGGCCCCAAGCTCTACCCCTCTCTGGGCTACTGCTGCCCCATCTCAGGCTCCAGCCTCCCCCCAGCTCATCTGTGCCTTAAGCCTGAACCCTGGCAGGGCTCAAGGTAATCACGTACCACTCTGGCGGTAGTGGGACCTCCAAGCCACTCCTCCCTTCTAGTCCACCCAAATCACCAAACAAATGTAAGCCTCCTGGCAGCAGAGCAAACATCCAGCCCACCAGCTACCTACCACACTTCTTCCAGGCCCTGAATCAGGTCCCTTGGGTTGCACTCTCCTAGGAAGCTCCCTGACAAGGAAGTCATCAGTAGCAGCCATCTCACAGCAAGGCCTTACCCTGCTACTTCCCAGGTCTAACTCCCTACTCTGGCTCTGACATATGTGCTACTAAAGCCCTACCTCCATCTGCTCATGCGACTGCCTGGTCAGCTGACTTGACCACAAGGCTGTTCCTTTACCCTGCCCTGCTGGTTGTCTGTGCCTGTCCTACAAACACCCTGCCTTTAAAGAGGCCATGACACTTTTCAGTAACAGGGCAAGGGGTCCCAGTAGCCCTTAGCTGCTCATCTCCTCACACCTGAAGCCTGAGCCCTGCCTTTATTTGCTTATCTTCTCACTCTTCCTGCAACACCCTTCAAAAACTACTGTGGTACTTCATAATGCCTTGGCACCCTGGGTGAGAATCACTGTCCTAAAGTGATGCTTACTAATCCTTATTTTCAAGGGAATTGTTACTAAACCTTGTAATCCCTATTGTACATAGTTCATTTCTGTTATCATTTACCTTATGTTTCAACAAAGATATATTTTCATACCTTATTAACATTTATTTGAACATGTATTAGATACATCTCAATATATCCTTTTTTTTTGGCAAAGTTGGCCAAAGTTACTGCTATACCAACAGTGTAACTTATGCAAGTACTCCCTTTGGCATCAATTCACAATTAAAATATTAACAAATGGTATTTTCAAATATACATAATTTCACTGCATATTTGAAAGTATCTTTTCTTAATATTTTAATTGTGAGTTGATGCCAAAAGGAATATTTGGATAAGTTACTTTGCTGGTAATATTTAAGATCATACATATACTTGTAACATTTTATTTATTTAGCGAATGCAAGTCCATGAAAGCCAGTATCTTTAGCATAAAGATCATATGCAAATTAAATGCATAAAAATAAGCCTAATTTCAGAAACTGAAGTGATCTTCATTTTTTTTTTTTATAAAATCAGAAAGAAAAAAAGAAAAGAGAAAAAAAACTCACCTGAATTAAGGGTTGTATTTTTTTTAAAAGAAACTTCAAATCCAAGGTCATCATCTACTTTGACAGTGTTTCTTTTATCACCACTCACAAATTGTTCATCCACATACAAAGGCAAGTCATTCTTTCTCCCCAGTTTTGCCTCTAAAGATAATTCACCATGGCTGGTATTTACAGTCAATGTGCTTCCAAATTCAGACAATAATGAAAGTGTTTGTTCCCTATATGGTGGAGTCCTTATTTCTGAAAAATCACTTTCTGACAGCAAATTAGTATTAACCTTGTAGTCTACATTATCCACTGCAGCTTCTGAAGACATACAAGAAAGTTCTGATGTAACATCTACATATGGCAAATCATCTTCAGTTCTTTCACTATCTGTACTCACCTCTGCAGATGGACTAACACAGGCTGCAGTTTCTGTAATCTCCACGCAAAGGGTTTTACCTATACTCAGGAGTTGCACTGTATTCTCAGCAGTTCCTAGTACTTCAGTAACTACTGTACTCTTAGCTGTCGTTGATTCTCCCATCACAGGACTGTCATGCTTCTCCTTTTTCTCACTATGGACACTTTCATCTTCTTCATTAGCCAGAGGCAGAGAACCATCACTTTTATCTGAGTCTGTAGATGATAGGATATAATCAATCTGGCTGGTACTCTTAAAAGTTGCATCATTTTTGTCCTTTATTTCTGTGCTTGCAGCATCAAGCTGACTTTCTTCTATGACTGCAAAGGTAAAGAGACTGTCACATTCTTCCACTGCACTCAGAGTGATTACAGCATTTTCTTTTGCATTCTCTACACATGAAGCAGTGTTTGAGTCCTCATTGTTGCTGGCAACAGTGATCATAGGAGCCCCACATTCCTCTACATTTCCAATGAAGATCACAGAACTTTCACTTTTCTCTCCTGGGTCTAAAGTAGCTAGTTCAAACTGTTCATCTGTTGTTGTACTGGTCTCAACAATTTTAGATTCCTCTGGTGGATTTGGAGATATAATGGTGGTCTCATGTTTTTCTTCTGCTCTTGCTACAATAAGAGGATTTTTAGGTTGTGTGGCTGTGCTGATCAGAACTATTTCACATTCTTTTGTCATACTAGTAGTGATCATTGCAGTTTCATACCTTTCTTCTGCTCCTGAAGCAGTGAATTGATCCTCATCTTGTGCGACTGCACTGGACACATGAGATTTGAAACATTCTGCTGAACTTGTGGGGATCATTACCGTTTCATTTTTTGCTTCTCCACCTGAGGCAACATGTTCAACTCTATCTTCTGTGACTTCACTGGATATGAGAATCACTTGTTCTTCTACTATGCTTGTTGAAATCATAGCACACTCATCTTTTTCTTCTCTGCCACTACCAGTTGGGTGACTTGTATAATCATCTTCAGCACTGGATGCACTGGGCATAGGGACTTCATATATTTCCATATCAATAGAAACTACATTACTTTCATTCATTTCTTCTGTCTTTGCAGCAGTGAATTGACCATTGCATTCTCTAGCTGCGCTGGGCATGGGAGCCTCAAATTCTTCTACTATACTTGTGGAAATCATAGTGCACTCATCTTTTTCTTGTCTACAGCTAGCAGTGTGTAAACTCCCTTTAAAATCTATGGCTGTACTGGGCATTGGTGCTTCTGTTTCTTCAGTGTCTATTAGGATCAAAGAGCTCTCATCATTTCCATCTGTTCTTGCAGCAGAAAGTGGACCCTCCTCAACTTCTGTGACTGAACACTGTAAGGTAGCATCACCTTCTTCCACTGTACTTGTAGAATGGATGTCATCTTTAGATTTTTCTTCTTTGTCAGTATAAATAAGCATAGGATTTTCATCTTCCTTTGCAACCAAGGTAGTCATGGGACCCTCAAAATCACTATTGCCTACACAAATAATTGCAGTCTCCTCCTTTCCTTTAGCAGCAGCAAACTGCTCCTTATCTTTCTCTGTCACTGCACTAGTCATGGGGCCCCTAGATTCTTCAGTATCCACGACTACAGCTTCCTTACCTTTTTCTGTATTTGGAGTCATGACATCTTCATCTACTGTGCCTGCACTTGTTACACTACTCTCAACTATTCCTTTTACATTTTTGCAGATCAAGTCACCATTAGCTTCTTTCTCTGCACCAGTCAAGCTGTCAACACCAACTTTATTTACATTTGTGGCAGCTACACCTGATTCAGCTTCTACTCGTTCTGCAACTATGCAGATAATAGAGCTTTCCCCTTCTTCTGCACCGATACAAATAAGTGCACTTTCCTCTTCCATTCCTGTACATGTTGAAGCATGCTCAATTTCTTCATTTCCCCTTCCTGTACTAGTCACAATATTTTCACCTTCTTCATCCTCTTCTTTTGAGCCTGTGCTAGTCACAAAGCCTTCATCATCACAAGAGCCTATGCTGATGATAGTGATGTTTGGATCTTTTGCTCCTGTGCTGTCCATGGCACTTTCACATTTTTCTGCATGCAAGCAAACTGCAAAACCTTCACTGCTATCTCCCAGTCCTGTGCAGACTACTGCAACGTCAGCATCATCTTCTGCTGTTATGCCCGTGCTGGTTACTGCACTTTCACCATTTACAGTATCTTCACATTTGTTGGTCCTTGTTCCAATTTTGGTATTGTTATTTGTGACCATTTCAACATATGCACCAGTTACAGTACTTTCTTCCTGGGCATCAGCATCAGTCACTGAGCAAATTATGAAGTTACGACCTCTTTCTTCTGCACCTGTACAAGTCACAGCACCTTCAGTTTCTTTCACCTGGCCAGCTTTAGGCATGTTGCTTAGGAATCCATCTGAATTTTCACTGCTCCTGGATTCTTCACCTGCTTCTGCGCCTGCACTGGTTACAGCACCATCACTTTCTATTTCACCAATACAGGTAACAGAACCTTCAAACTTGCCTGTACCTACACAAGTTGAAGCCTTGCGTTTTTCTTCAGAGCCTGCACTAGTTACAGCATCATCCTTTTCTTCTGCCCCAGCACTGTTCACATGGTCCTCAATTTCTACTCCACTTACATTAACTGAGCCTTTACCAATTTCTTCTGCATCAATCATGGTGCACTCACCACTTTCTTCCTCCTTTGTACTGGTCAGGACACTTTCACTTTCTGCAAATCCTTCTGTGACACCACCACCGTCTTCTTCAGCTGTGGCAACAGTACACTCACCCACATCAGCTTCTGAAGCAAAACTGCTTTTTACCCATATGCCTGCTGTGAAACCTTCATCTGCTTCTATGCTTGTGCAGATTACAGTAACCTTACTTTCTTCTTCTGAGCATGTAGTTGTGGCATTGCCTTCCTTTTCAGAATGTACAAGATGACAAACTTTAACCTGCTTTTCTCCTGTACTGGTAGCCATTATAGTATGTTCAATGGTCTTCTCTGTGCTGGTTCCTATTGCAGTGGCTTCAGTTGTCTCTAGCTTGTTACACGCCATACTGTGTTCACTAGTTCCTGCACTGGTGCCTACTGCATTGCTTTCATTTTTATATTCATCGTCAACTATTAGGCCATCCCCTTCTTCTGTTCCACTTGCTGTAATAGAATCTTTAAATGCATCTTCTGGATCTCTTGTAACATTGGTAGGCACTAATACAGAAGAAGATTCTATCACAGCACCTCCATCGTGTTCCTCATTCTTTTTTACAACATCCATGCCAAGTTCTTTTTCTTCTTTTGCAGTGCAGCCTGTATGTAAGCTCTTTCTTTCTTTCTTTTCTGAATTCACTAAGACAAGTTCTTTTGTTGTTATACTTCCATGATTGGCAGCTTTGTCAGTCACACTTTCATCACTTTCTAGATCAGTTATTTTACACTCATTTCTTCCTTGCACTCCATCTTGCTTAGTTACTTGAGCATAATCTTCTTTAATACCCATTAAACCACTTTTGTCCTCTCCTGATTGTTCACTAATTAGGGGACTCTCTTCATTTTTTTCTACCACGTCTGTCACAGTGACCTCACCACCTTCTTTCATGAAAGAACTTAACACAGTACCACCACCTTTTCCCGTGTATTCTGTTGCTGCATTATCTAAAATGGTGCCTCTATTTAAAATAGGCTTATCTAAATTAGGAGATTCATTTTTACATGTGCTATCCAAGGAACCAGTAAAACTTGGTAAATAATTATTTACTGATTTTGTATGGGAAGCATCTTCTGATCTGGAAGAGGTACTCACTAAAGAAACATTTTCTTCATCAGGACTGACCGTGGTTTTTAAACTCTTTGATTTTTTGACATTCTCTGAAGTTTGCTCTTTACCTGGAGCATTAAGTAAAACTGTACCACTTTTTTCAGAAATGTTTATTTGATAAGCTCCCTGTTGAATGGGGCCTTGATCCTCAGATACTTGTTTGGACACTTTATCTAGGGCGTCATCTACTTTAGTAAAGGTGCAGGTGTTTTCACGTTCATTTGTTTCTTCAGAATTTCGATTAGCTGTACCTGGAAGTTCTGATGCACATGCTTCAAAGTCTACAGACTTTTTTCTTAACTCATTCTTTGAAATGTGAACAGACATGTTTTCTTTTAAAACATTTTCAAAGCCTCTGTCTTGTGAATTATTGCTTTTTTCTTCTATTTTAGAGGCCGCATGTACTTTTGTTTGTTCTGAATCGAGCTCCATTGGGACTTCCCATTGCTCAGAATATGAGTCATCATTAGTCCTACCTGATGATTGAGTGGCTGGAATAGGGCTGGTAACAAATATGTCTGTTGCTTGTTTTTCTTCTCTTGTTGTGATTTCTTGTATCAAGAAGCTTCCTTTCTTGTTCTCACTTAAAAACCTCTTACTAGACTTTTTATCCATACCCACTGTGGTCCCTAGTATTCTTTCATGACTACTGTCAATTTCTTTAATGTCTTTGTCCTCCAATTTAGAACTCTCTTCCTTCTTCATTTCTTTATTGTTATGCTTTAAGCTTCTGCTTTTGTGACCTTCCATTGAGAACTTCCTCTCTAATTTGGTGCAACTCAAGTCTTTATCACTTCTGGCTTTCTCTTTTACAGCTATTTTTTCAGCTGGTTGTAATTTAACTTTATGACTAGATTCTTTTTGTGAATTATAAATTGTGTGCGCACCACTTTCAAGTTCAGACTGAACACTGCTTTCCTCAAAAACTTTATCTTCATTTTTGGATTTGCGTTGCTTCTCTGCATCATTCTCGTCTATATTCTTATCTTTGTCTGGTTTCTGAATGCTGTCTTGTTTTGTAAAACTCTCTTGCAAGTCTGTTTCAAGTATTTTAGACTGTTTACTGTGACTTTTAGATTTAGATTTTAACAAAAACTTGTCTTCTACAAGACTCTTGGACCTCCGTCTTTCTCTATGAATATTATCTTCTTGTTTTAAATTACTGTCAGAGTTGGCTGATTCCACTTCATGTTTATCTTCTGAACAGCTTTCACTCCTTCTCTGTGATGCAGAAGCAGGTTGCCTTGAAGTACTTTGAGAATCCTTCTGTGGTCTAGAATCACTTGATAATCTTTTGGATTTATATTCTAATTTTGTTTTTTCTGTAGAAATGTGTCTGTCTTTTTTGTTATTTTCTTTACGTAAACTTTCATCATTCTTAAAGGTGTGTTCAGAAGCATTTTTTCCTTCTTTGCTAGCTGCTGACATTTTCCTTTCACTTCTGTGTTTACTTTTTCTTTCCGATTTATCATCTGAAGAAACCTTTGTTAGTTGATTATGTTTCTGCACACTATCCTCTCCTTTCAAGCTCTTCTCCACAGAATGAAGATCAGTATCATCGTTTGCTTTATGTATGCCGTCTCCTTTATACTTATGTTTTACTGACAACTTATCTTCTGAAAGAGTTCTCTCCTTTTCATTTTTATCTCGGTTTGACTTTACCTCTTTCTTAGTAATACTTTTCAAATTTTGAGTTTCTGCATCATCTTTTTTAACATGTTTTTCATTTTTAAATATGCATTTCTGCTTCTGAACTTCTTCAGCACTAGTATCTGTTCTATCCAGCTGCTTTTTAGGATCCTTTGTTTCATTTTCCTGCTGCATGCCTTCCATGTGAACAGAGGTAGATATTTTTCTCTTATGTTCTTTTTCCACTTTGGAGTCATTTTTGCTTTCCTCAGTAGAATGAACTGACTCCGAAAGTCTTCTGACAGGCTTAGTTGCTTCACTTTTACCATGGTTATGTTTCATCTCCTTTGAGATTTTTTCGCATGCCTAAAACACAAAATTAAAGATATGAACAAAGAAATAGAAGTAGAATTACTTAGAGATCTAAATTAAAAGGGTAAACTGCTCAATTCAGTGTAAATGTTAAAGTTGTTTTCTTAAGGAATTTATTTAAGCTACTGAAAAGAGAATTGAATTAAATGCCATGTCAAGAACCTGAAATTTAAAATGTTTCCCACCAAGTAGGTAAGTATTTGGAACAATCATAACCAGTAGACTTTCCTGAAATAATTCCTATTTGAACTAGAACATGTCTTTTAGAGAAACTACTCATCTTGACTTTAAGATTCAGGGATACATAATAAAATATAACTAGGTAAATTATGCCAATGGCAAGTTACTTTCAGTGTTAAAAAGTTACTTGGAATTTGTCAAACTTCAGCTTCCAGCCATAAAATTTTGTTGTCTGCTACACTGAGCAGTTTCTATCAAATGTCTATTCCCCATATAATTAATTACTTACAGACTGTGCTGAAGTCACCCTTAAAATTTTCTCTTTGGTAGATTACATAGATTGATCTCAGTGGGCACGTCCAGATGAGCATGGAGTGTGGTATGTGGCACCGCAGGCCCATCTGCAGTGCCAAATACTGCATATGTAGGCATTCCATGGCAAAAGAAAAGTGGAGTGGTGCACATGACAGCAGGATGCACCGCTCAAAACTGGAGCCAGGCTGGCCAGAGCCATGCTCCAGCTGCCAGCCAGGCTTCTTATTACAGGCATGCTGCAGCTACAGCTCTCGCTCCCCGAGACCCCCAGGAACCTAGGTAAGGCTGCTGGGGCCAGCACAGTTGCTGGCGCCAGCTTCCCCTACCCCACCCAGGGTAACCTGCTGTGCTGCTGCTACTTGTCCCCTGGGAAACGCAAGTTACTGTTCATCTGGACACTCCAACTGAGTCCTTCAGCTGGTATTTCCAACTGTGGTTCTTGTAAGCATAAATGGGTTATCTACATTAGCTCTTCCAAAACAATTTACAAAGCAGCACTGTTAAAACAAGATTAGAAAACAATATGAATGGAAAGAATGAAAGAAAACTAACTAATGAATATTAATCTGATAATAGAAAAATGTACTATTTATAAGTAACATCAACCCTTTGTAGAATTAAAAACAGAACAGAACATTCCCTCGTTTCTCCATAGTTAAAAAACTGTTTTGAAATAAAATTTAAAAATACATGACACCTACCTCATTTGTCTTTTGTGTTTCTTTGGGATCATCTTCAGACTGTTTTTTCAAACTATTTTCCACATACCTTAAATAGAGAATCAAAGACAGACTGAAAGACGCGGTAAAAATTCATACCAATGCATTCACAATTGCAAAACTAATCAATTTTTGATTCAGACAATTTTGTATTAAAATATCAAGTAGTATTCTGTGCAACCCTGTAAAATGCATTTAACTACTTAAGTTTCTGTTTCCTCATATACAAAGCGGGTCAGTATTTACCAACTACAAATATGTGGAGTTAACATTACAGTATATTCAGTGCTGTGAGGAAAAAGCCTGATAACTATTAGTATTATAATTAATAAAGATTCCAGGAATAATTGGGATAAGTAAAGCTTATCACATAGGGGAGAACAAAGTTTCCTCCTTAACACAAGCATAAAATGGACAGCTGTCTGTGCAACGCACAAATCAGGGGTAGTGGCTGGAGGTTCGCTGTGGCATGGGGAGATATGCCCTTCATTTGTTGGCTAAAATGTCGAGAGGCCATTGAAGTACTGGCTTGCAGGAGCAAAAACAAAGAAAAGAAAGTAGTAAGAAGGTTAACTCTCAGGCACCTTCCTTCCTGGCCCCCAGCATCCTGTTTCTGCCAGCTGCTGTGCTTGCATGATTTGCTGCTGTCAGCCAGCCACTACTGTCGCCAGCTGCTGGAATTACAGCTGCTCCAGGGTGTGGGGGAAGGTAGGGATGGAACATAAGCAACAGGAGGGCAAGGCAAGACACCTCCCACACTTGCATTCTGGTGCCCTTCCCTTAGGCAGGGGCCCATGCTCCTTTCACCCATCCATTGTTATACTACCAATCTTTATTCTACAGAACATACCTTTAAAAATGTCAACTTAATCTTCTACAAATTTTGCTTGTTTTGTAAGCTGGATTTAAAAACACAACAAAAACAACTTAAGTTTTCAGACTAGCTGAACTTTGCTGGTACCCTTTATAAGGAGGGATAAATTCCAGTTTGAACTGCACACTATATTGTATTAATTGATAATTTCTGAAATATTAACCCAAAGCCATTATGCACAACTCAAAGTCTTTATTTCTCAAGGCATATTTCTGTCATGGACCATTTTATATTGGGAACTTTACATGCATATTTTTAGCTTTTCAAAGTGAGGCCATGATGTAGTTTGGCTGTAATATCAATTAAAATGACAGCGTAACAATTCATTTTAGTTTGCTCTCGTTAAATTCACTCTTCTTAAGATGCTCTGCTTACAAGCACTACGAAAGAGAGCACAAAGCCAAAAAAGAAACAGGAGGAAATCAGGGGGAAAAAATAGTGCTAGGGGAAAAACAAGTTTTCAGATGAACAAAAAGGTTTTCTGAGCTGTTCTTAACATACATTGTTTAATGATATTGTAGACTAGTAAGACCTTAAGCTGAGGATGCTATCAAGACCATACAACTAGGAGTGTAAAACAGAAGTATATTATCTCACGATAAATTAAGCATCACATTTTTGTTTCTAAAAAATTTAATTTATAAACTCAATTTTCCTGAAACATTGTTCACGCATGTTAAGGGTAAATTATTATTGGAATAGATAAGTGGTAACTGCAAAAATAAAGAGAAGGTTTTTAAAAACAATTTGTATGAGTTAATATGTATTAATCTATCTGTAAAAAGGAATACCTTGAATCTCTTTTTCTTTTCCTGCTCAGGGCTACCTTTTTCTCTAAAAACTTCTGTTCTTTAAGCACATCTTTAATGCTGGTGCCAGTAGCTTTTATTTCAACACCTTTGACTGAAGACTCTTCTGAGTTCAAGCCACTCTTGCCTAAAATGACAATATACAAATACAGTGATTGAAAAAGCATATCCTTTATGATTACTTTCAGTTTCATACAATGCTGTATACAAGTTTGAAAACTACTAAACTGGGCTTTTGTTGTTTCAGCTGTGTACACATTGTGTGCACATTTCACATTGTGGACAACGTGAAAACGGAATTTTGCCTATTTTGCTTTAGGAAGTGTTCATTTGTAATAACAGGTGAACTTGACCCCTGAAGTAAACGGCAAAACTCCTATTGACTTCAATAGTCAAGATTTCACCTTATTTGTTTTAAAAACAAAGGCTGTTGTTGCTATTTTAACACCTTTAGCATCTTGACTCCCAGTTTTCAGTGATTTGGTTTTTTCTGCAGCTTTTTGTTTACGTTTCTCTTCAAGTCTCTCTCTGTTAATCTGCCTTCTTAAGAGTCTCTCTTCTTTTTCTCTAGCCTGAAGAAAAAAAAAAAGAAAGGGGGGATTTTTTTTTTTTTTTTAAATCAACAGGCCAAATAGACAATGATGATCGTTATGAACAGCACAGAATGCTCTACAAAAGGCAATTGCTATAGTTCTGCAGAAATCAGAAACTTTCAGCTTGAAACCAAATAACTAATAAGCTTTTAAACATCACTGTACAAACAATAATTAAACCGCATACTACTTCGACAGAGGTCACAAGTCTTGAAAGCACGTAGTCCATGAGTGTGTGGAATCTTGTCTCTGGCTCCATGCTCCAATTTCAAGTTCTGCCCTTTCACAATCTTCGCAAGTGTTTTCTGTTTTCCCCTCAGACAAGGTTATTTGGGTAAATCTGGTAATCTTTTATTAGACCAACTAAACAGTTGGAAAAAAAATTCTTAGCAAGCTTTTGGGGTTAAAAACCCTTTGTCAGGCTGAGGAAGTATCTGCAGTTGGTGTGTGCTCTTCCTGGATGGAAGAGCACACACCAACTTCTTTCTTTCTCAACTTTTATACATAAGATTACCTGGGCAACTGCAGAGTCCAATTTTACCCAGTAGCTCTGTGAGGTATACAGCTGGACTTAAAGTGCACAAGAAACCCAACATTTTTTTCTAATAAACCCTTTACACAGTCCAGCATGTATTCCTAAACTTCTCTCCCCCTTTCTGCTGATGTAAAACAGCAGAATACTGCAAGGATGGCAGCATCTACATTGTAGAAGACTACTACTCTGGACCAAGCAGGCTTTGGTTCTAGCATAAGTTACTCTGCAGTATGTAGTAGGTAGATAAGGCCTTCCTTTCTTCTCTAAGCTACAGTTCTGCTCAGCTGCGTAAGCCAATGGTTATCAATCTATGACCAAAAGATTCTTTCCATGAAGAGATGACAAGTCACATAAGGTCTGAAGAAGCAAAGCTGCCACTATGAAGTAAACTGCCAAATGAAAAGCAGAATTTTTGTATTGCAAAAAACAAAAACAAAAAAATCCCCAAAACAACCAAACAGACAGACAAAAAAACCCAAAATAAAACCTGAGAGAAATAGAACAATTCATATAACCAAACTTACAATAGACTGGCGGCGTTGCTCTACAGTCCGCTCATCATCAGAATCACTGTAATACTTGGAATATAAAAAAGGCTTGTGAATATAAGCATGACGAACTGGTTTGGTTTTTCCATCACTTGGCTCATTAGTTTGAGTTTTTGTCTTACTCCGATTGTTCTTCTCTTCTTCATCTAAAAAGTAATAACAACCGCCCCCAGTAAAACATGAAGGTAAATTGGTAAGTTAGAGAAAGGCATCAATATACACTTACTTATTTTTACAACATACACATTTTCTGTTAAGTTTTACAAAAAACTAACAGCAAAAAGAAGGTTCAAAAATCCAATTCACAGTTTACAAAGTGTTCCTAAAGTATGAGAACCTGAAAATGACACTGAACTTAGCTGTTGCCACTGTTCTGAGAAAAAAATAAAACAAACACATACTAACAGTAGGAATTTTTTTTTTTTTTTTTTTTTTTTTACAGCTTTTAATGTTAGGGGTGTTATTTAATACACTGTACTTACTTAAATCTAAGATGAGGCATCTCCCCCAAACAGCATGTGGGGAAAAAGCCCTTCATTTTGGATTCACGTACAAGGTGGGGGATAGTGGTGGGAGGGCAGCTGCTGCAGCTCTGACTCTGGCCTTGAGCCTGGGTCTGGGCCAGAGTCAGACCCACAGCAGTCTCCTGCCCTCCTCATTTCTTCTCCATCCCCCTACCACCACCTTGCTTGCTCTATGCAGCTTCTGCCTCCTCCTGTCCCCTTTCACCCCCTTTACTGTCAGGGGGACTTCCTCCTGGGAACACAGCACAGGGCAACTCTGTACAGGTCAGCAGCGTTGCTGCTGCACAGCCTGACACAGGATGCACTTCCAAGTGCTGAGCTCCATGACCGATCAGGGAACAGAGCCCAAGCAGCATCTGATAGCAAATCAGGGTGGGGCAGGGGAGGAGAGACTGTGGGGAGCTGGGGGAGGGTGTAGGTGGTAAGGAGGCAGGGGACAAAGGTGGGGGGGGGGGAAGGGGGGTCACTTG